GAGTGAAAGTTCCTTGGTTGGGTGTGACGACGATAATAATAATAATAATAACAATAATAAAACAATAATTAAAAAGGAATAATAACAACAATGATAACAATATAATGATAATAATTCAATAATAATAATTTCAAATAAGCTCAAAGGAGTCTGTCTAAATTATGTCAACAGTTCCCCTCCAAATGTCTCCCTCCACTTGCTATACCTCTCCTCCTCTGTGCGACATGGAATCTTCCATGGCTGGACCTTCCCAGTAAACAGCAAATGTCTTGTTTTTAGGATTGTCCAACATGATGTCAGATGGCGAATTTCTACGCACCAGCTGTGGTTCCCCAAATTATGCAGCCCCTGAGGTCATCTCTGGCAGGTAGGACATTCCACTTCTAATCAGAACCTATGTGAGCACACAGAAGTTTGATCTTGGGCTCGGAAACAGCTTTGCACATCTAGGAAAAGCTGAATCCTTCTTCCAGCCTGTGTTTTATGTTTGAGCAAATCTGCTGGCAAAGATCTGAAAGTTTTGTTGGTCAGTACGTTTCTCAGTAGCTGTGAGAGTAAACCATATTTTGCTAAAGGTGTTTATTTGAAGGAATTGTTAGCAGATGTTGACTGTTTGTATTGCTAATTAAAGAGGGTGGAAATTACTCTTTGGATGCAAACAGTGAGGCTCCAGATGGAAAGACTTTTCCAGGCCAGCCCCTTCTCTCCTGCCCACCTATAAGATAAAACACAGCATTAAGGAGGAAAACATTAACAGAACGGTCAGGAAGACCTTACACTGTTGAACTCTTGTATTGAAAAGCTAGGGGTTTTGTTTGTGACAGCAGGTTCAGCCATCCAAACTTTGTTTTGAATTGGTGCATTGAATTGACAAACGAAGGTGGTTGCATCTCTCGGCGTGCAACATCTGTACCGCACACGGCATGTCGAACACGCTCTGCAAGGTTGAACTGGATTTTACCGTGTGGATACAGAAGTGTTACCGCCTGTATTTTACTGTCAGGAACCTAAGCTGCATAGAATGTACTTATTTCCCTAACTCTGTAATAGCACAGCAAGGATTGCAAATAGAGGTTTTCGAAATTTCAGTCTTCTATGTGGTCCTTCAGCCTGCTGCATATTTTTGAATCACCCTTTCCATGAACATTAGTTTTCCTAATCCAGCATATTTTTGCCTATAACTGTAGCTTTTAAATACAGTATTTTGTTCAAAGTCTGTTCACTGTGATAATGATTATTTTATCCCTGTTTACACCAGTGCAAGTATTGGCACAGTATCCTAGGAATTAGACCAGCATCCAAAAACCCCTGTTGCGACTACAGCTCTACAGGCGAAAGCAAGTAAATTCTCATTGTCAAGAGGGGAACAAATCCAGAAACTCTGCTGTGATTCCAAAAAAATATTATTTCCATGCCCTTTTCAGTAAAGGCCAGAATCACTTTTTTTTTTTCCCCAGTTCATATAGGAGACATGGCACATGGCAGATTAGCAAGAAGGGTTTAGTCCCTGTATGCAGAGCCTGATCGTTCCAAGGGTACAGACAATACAGCTTATTAACAATGAAAGTAAGAAAGAAAAAGAAAACCAAGCCTACGTGTTGCACATTTTTGCCAGCTACTGCTGCAGCCCTCCTGCATGAGTACCGCTTACAGTGTCAGTGACGCTTGAGTTTTATACCCCTGATAAATATGAAACTGTGCCCTCTTCTGAAAACTACGACGAGCTGCCCTCGAGGGGCAGAGGCACAATCTGCTGGTTCCTGGCTTCTCCTGCCTTTGCTGGGTAGAGCACAAAAGCAGGAGAGCGTGACAGCTCAGGCTTCAGAATCTTAGATAAAAGCTCATTCGGGCTTAAAAGTCTGGTCAGCTGTTCAGGCAGTGCAGTTATCACCTAAAGAGTCGGGCTTCCTATCCATTGGAATCGGGCGTGGAGGCAGGACCAAGAGGGCAGCGGGATAGTGGTCTACATTTCCAAAAAAATGACTTTGCTGCTGTCACTGGCCTCAGCAGGGAAGATTTCATAGAATGGCCTAAGCTGGAAGGGACCTTAGAGATCATTTTAATCCAGCCTCCCTGTCGCCAGGGACGCCACCTCTCGACTAGATCAGGCAACACATGGGGACCGAACGGGAATCGAACCCGCAACCTTAGCGTTGTTAGCGCCACGCTCAACTGACTGAGCTAACCGGCCCCCTTGGACAAACCGGACCCTTGGTCAAACACAACCGAGGTTTTAGGGGTGTTCAGAGAATAGGCCGTGTGCATGATGGGTGCTTTTGGACACCGGTACATCTGCAGCAATGCTTTTCAGGAAGAGCAAGTGCAGGATGCTGAGGTTTCCTGAAGGGACTTCTGTATTTCTGTTTCAACCATTGTATTTTGGTAGGGTTTTATGGCCTGAGGGTAAGCACTGCCTCCCAAAATCGCTGAGAAAGCAAGAGCTCTAGCAAAAAGGGATAAACAAATAGAGGAAGCAGGCAAAACCTGTACATTTGGGGTGTCCTGATGTGGCAATGCCAAGGAGCACGTTAGCAGCTTGTCGGAAGGAGGAGCACTTGCATGCCAGCACACAAACTTCAACCAAAAATAAACACTCAGAGATAGAGTATCTGCTGCTGTTTAATCCGCCTTGCTTGAATGAACAGAAATTGCTGGCTGAGCCCTTGAGGCAAAGGAGCAAACAGCCTGGCAGAGCTCTTGGAAATGTGGAATTTGGCTTTTCGGAGGGTTGGGCAGAGGCAGGGATGTACACGGCTGTTCAGAGGAGTGTGGGCAGCCAGCTCTGCCGGGTCATTTCCCCTTGCCCCTGAGTGATTTTGGCTTAGGCAGGGTTTGTCAGGGGCATCGCTGTGAGCAGCCCCAGGGTGGCCTGCAGCTCTGGCCCCTGTCCCCAGCTCGCCCAGTGGGAGCTGCACCCTGACTCAAGAGAGGTGGACGGTTGGTGACACCTTACCCCTGCCCTTGCCTTCGCGCAGGCTGTATGCTGGCCCGGAGGTGGACATCTGGAGCTGCGGCGTTATCCTCTACGCCCTCCTCTGTGGCACGCTGCCTTTTGATGATGAGCACGTCCCTACCCTCTTCAAGAAGATCCGAGGAGGTGTGTTTTACATCCCCGAATACCTCAACCGCTCTGTTGCCACTCTCCTCATGCACATGCTGCAGGTTGACCCCCTCAAGCGAGCAACCATCAAGGACATCAGGTCAGCCCAGGTGGGATGGGGTGGGATGGCTGTGCTGGGGGAGCTCCGGGGTACCGGTGGCTGAGGATTCTGGCTTTCCTGGGGGTCATCTGCTGGCAGGTGGGCAGGGGAGTTTACAGGGGTAGTCAGTTAATCCTGTGATTTAAGAAATAACTCCTGCACCCTTCTCTGCTGATGGAGAGGTGGATGCTGCTGGCTGGTAGTGGGTGATGATGAACAGGGTGATGATGATTTTATACATATGTTATATATATAAAATACTGGTTTGCTGCATTGTAAAATAGCTTTAAAAATCTCATAATAGTGCTTAGCAAAACCAGCTATATAGAATCATAGAATCATTTATGTTAGAAGAGAGCTTTAAAATCGTCAAGTCCAACCATTAACCATGTTGGAACAAGTCCAGAGAAGGGCCACAAAGATGATCCAGGGGCTGGAGCATCTTTAATACAAGGATAGGCTGAGGGAGCTGGGATTATTCAGCCTTGAAAAGAGAAAACTCTGGGGGACCTTACAACTGCCTTCCAATACCTGAAGGGAACCTTCAGGTTGGAAAGGGTCTTTTTACAAGAGTGTCCAGCAATAGGACAAGGGGAAATAGATTTAATGAAGGAGAATAGGTTTAGATTGAATCTTAGGAAGAAATTCTTCAATATGAGGGTGGCAAGACTCTGGAAGGTGTGGATCCC